TATTTTACTCTCGTATTGCACTATTTATACTTGATGCATAACATGAAGCAAATAAAATAAATTATCGATTGTCGAATACTTATCGTATGAATATAAGTTAAAGAATTATTTAATAATACTTGTGAAGAAACATTTGAAGATTTAATAAAAACTAAATTAAAAGAATATTTTTAAATGAATGTTGTGTTAACAGAAAAAATGATTTTCAAATTTCGAATTGATAGCGTGTCTTGCAGATCGCTCACGTAAACTAGCTGAATTTAATATTCGGATTTAAAGATAGAACCAAATCAAAAGATCTGACACTTTCACAATAAACTACTCTCGTTAAGGTTATCAATATTCGCAAAATCAGTTTTTCTGTTACTATGACATTCTTATATTGAAATTTTCCTTCTCTAGGAAAGACCCTTTCATAAACCTTAATTAAAACATTTCCATCTAAAGTTTTATCCATAGACAAATTTCAGACACAATACAACATCCTAAAGGTTTTAGCTTAACCAGATGAATAAAAAAGATTAATAATTGAAATTTTCTTTACAATAAATATTTACTATTTAAAAGAAGTTACCTTTTGTGTACATTGAATGTTGATTTAAAATAATTAAGTGTTTCTCTTCCAAATTTTTTTGATAAATCTTGTGTAGAAATAAGACTTAAAACTGATTTCATAGACAATAATGATCATTTCTGATGAATTTAATAAACTTTTATGTATTTGATAAGATGAACGTATTAATTCGGATAATTTCCAAAAGTACCTAATTGTATACGATTAACATTTTTATCTTTGTCTGTATTTGATGTTGTTGATGAATCTTTTGCATTCTATTTAAAAAGAAAAAAACAAATGAATTCATTCAGACGAAACATGATCAAATATATTCTTCAAATGTAAAACATTGGAACTCTCTTCTTCTGTGAAAACTGAAATATCAACTATATTCTGTCCAAAAGAATGATGATAAAATAGTTCAATTTTTCGAATTACTTGAATCATTTGTGCTACTTTCAAAACATTTTTTCGTTTGCTGAGATTTGATAAATCTTCAAATAAAAAGAAAGAATTAAAAAAAAACATAATAAATATCTTTTTTTTTCTCTCTACTTGAAAAGATTAAATTATTAAGATCATGTAATATAAAGGGATGTTTAAAAAAAAATTATAAATAAACGAAGTTCATCATATTGATTATGAAAAAATTGGTCGAATTGTTGTTGGTCTTAAAACATTTGAAAGAACATAAATATCTTCCAAACATCCAACCTATATAAAAGACAAAAATAACAAACAATTTGTATTCGAGTTGATGCTTAAACGTGTAATGAATGATGAATTTTATATATCCATTGACATGGTAAAAATGAATTGTGATCAACAAAACCTTAAAATCAAAAAGTAGCTAATAACTAACTTAATTCAATAAAATCGACTTATGCATTCAAATTCGAAAAAAAGCTACCTAGTTAATATCTCTACAAAATACATACTTAGCAAAAGTCGAAGCAATTGCTTGACGAACACGTATATCAGGGTACTGTTGTTTTAATTGTTGTTCAAGATAAGTTAATATTCGAAAATCAATATCATCTATAAATTGAGCTAGACTAACCTATTTTATATACACACAAAAAAAAATTATTATAAACATAAATTTCTTTTATCTACTTTAGCAAGAATACAGGAACTTGTAGTATGTTGAATAGAATCTTCTAATAACTCAATGCCTATGATTGTAAATGCATGACTATTAATTAATAAAAAAAGGTAATAATGTTCGTAAAGCATTTAGTGAAACATGTATAACACGTGCATTATTATCATTAAGACATATAATCTTGAACTGTCTTGTGAATCAGTTGATACAAGTGGACATTGATTAATAAAAGAATTATTAAATGAATTTGATAAGAATGTGTTAAAAGATAAATTGTTGTTTGAATTAATGTAACAAGTAAATTTGCACATGCACCACGTAAATGTAGATCACCGTGTTCACATAAAGATAAAAGATATGTAATATCTTAAAAAAAAAGATACCTTGATGTTCGATAAATTTTAATGTATTTCAAGTCATATAGAGATGGGAATTTCATTTTTCTCATTAGGAAATTTCATATCAATTACAAAATTATATTTAATCAGAAATCTTCAAAGACTAATGAAAAACTCCTTAGAGGATACAATTGATTTCATATCTCGAACTTCGGCTTAGAACTTTTTTGAGATAGTTATGTGATTGTATAATTTCAATTTCTGATGTATTGATGCAGGCTTTGAGCTTCAATAAAATGTTCTACTTGACATCTTTTCGAGTCTGATAATGTTCTAGTCTTTTGTTGGTTTCAAAAAAATTAAAAATAGGAATAGGGCTAGAGCTGATGAATCAATATCGAGAAATCTCCATTCTTGAATTTTCAGATTCCAATATATATATATGTTTCAACAATTTAATAGTGAAATTGTCATATCTATCAGATAACTTTCACTAAAACTTTGAGACCTTAACCAATTGAAGCCACGTCAACTAAACTTTGCCACAATCCACTTCATCTAGGCCCTCCAACTGTTACGACATTAGAAATAATTTTGAATTATAAAATAGATCTATTTTACTGAAGTGAAACTTTACAAAAAGAAGCCTCAAACAAGCATTAAACATACTTTCAATAAGGTAATCAAATCGACCAATTTGTTGATAAATACGATAGACATATTGGTATAGCACATTTAACACTAATACATGATTCATCATTACTTTTTATCGTACCATCCATATTAAGCATATATCTAATTGGAAAAAAAATATAATTGATTAACAAGTTTAGCAGCTGATATTCATTTTTCAATATTAATTATTGATGTTGAATCTAATTCATCATTCATTTCAATAAATCAACGTTGATATGTTGAATAAGCTATTGCTTTAGAAAAAAAAAATTCTTGTTTTTTTCTCAATATTTACCTGTTTTTAAGGCTTCACTAACACAAGTTTTTTCTATAGATCCAATTTGAATTGAAATTAATAATTGATCAAAATCAAATAAATTTGAATAACGAAGTAATTGAATCATTTTTTTTATTAAATCAAGATAATCAATTATTAAACGTGTACTAGCATTTTGATTTTGATGTTCAAGTAATTGATCTATTAAAATAAAAGACAATTATAATGAATTGAAATTATTATTTGAAAGAAAACTTACTAATTGCATTTGTCATTAGAAAACGTGCTATAACCATAGGATAACACATTTGCTGACTAGACCATGAGAAGTTTCTACGAATAGTTTAGTAGTTTACTAAATATTTCAAAAGAAAATTATTTATTATTGATATTAGGAAAAAAACAGAAAAATTCATTCTCACTCGACTTCATACTTTAACTATCACGATAGCCAGTGAACTCCTATGACTAAACCATTCTTAAGTTGCATGAAACTCTACGCTCGATTACTTTCAAGGGCAGATCGCTTCAACTGATAGACAGTTTCTCAGTTCGTATTTCGTCAAATAGTATCAGACTGCCTATTCTGCATTTTCTGAAAAACATCCTCTCATGCTAGAAATTTTAACCGAAACATGGTAGAGCAATTCTTTTCTATGTTTCTATTCAACCGTATGACATTTTTCTGATTACTAATTTAGAAAACTTGTTCTAGATGACAAAGATTTTCTTTTTTACTTACTTTGATTTCTTTCTCATGAATTCAAGAATATGAAAAATAAGTTCATAACATTCTGATAAAATGATTGAATCTTTTTCGGATGTATTACATTTGCTAATTCGGCAAATCACCACAGAACACCTAATCGAAATTAAAAAAAAAAATCCTTATTATAAATTTAAGTCAAATAATAAAAATAACCTTTTAAAGCATTTGGTCCAACATTAGGATTATGTTTTATAATTCGATGTAATTCAACTTGAATTCTTGTTAAAACTGCTTCTTTTAAATTCTATTTCATAATTCATACAAAATTATACAGAAAAAAAGAATTTCTTTTATAATGCTTTAACAAATTTATTAAGATTTTCTTCAGCAGTCAATCGTACATTATAATCATTTTCATCACATGTTGTAAATAATGTTTCCACCCTGGCTTTAATTAATTTAAAATAATTTTCATTGTTACCTCTAGATAAGAGAAACGTTTGAGAAGAGATGAAGACCAGAAAAATCAAATTTTACTTGATTATTAATGTTTCTGATTTTGTTGTTGAAAGTAACTTTGAAAATTCAAGTGATTTACTTAGTTTATCCATTTTGTTTAATTTATATTCAATTCATTTATTTTAAAGCCAAATAGATAAATGACTAAGTTTAAACATTATTTGATTAGTATACCGGCAAAGCGAGAAAAAACATCAAATCATTATCAAATGGAGAATACACTTATGCACTTAGTGGCGCTAATTTCTGAAATGCTTCGATCACTTTTTCAGAGGAACTACTTTATATCAAATTGTAGCTTGTCAAAAGACAAATCATCTCATGAAGTCAGATTTTTCGGCCTATTTTTTTTTCTCTAGAAAATTATTAATTAAGTGAACCAATAAAGAGCAATGAAACACTGCAGCCAATAAGAATAGGGTATTATGTTCTTATTGTTATATTCGTGCACACATTGTTTTCAACAACAGGCGTACATAGTAGAAGCAAAATGTACAGAACATCTTCATTTTGATTTGCACTCTGATTCACACTTTACTAAAAAAGTAACATGTGCTGTGTACATCTTATAAAAAAAAATCATTTGATTCTAGACTGGGTTTAGAAAAGGCTATACATTAATCATTATGACTATAATTATACAACACTACATCACGATCTCTTAAATATAATTTCCTAGTTGAATAATAAAATATAATTTCGTTTATTTTATATGCCCTGTCTAAAACTATATTACTCGACATAAAAAAGTATTCTGTGATTTTGATTGCAATCAATATAGTTTTTTTGTTCGTCATAAATAGCTTCTCATTTTTTTTGTAAAACACCATATTACATGTTGAGATACTGTCTATTCATTGATTATTTGTTGATTAAGTATTAATTTATATTTCATAGAATAATAAATATAGTTTTTTTCCTTTTCTAGATAAAAAAACGATTTTAGTACATTTTGCTACTACAAGCAAAGTGCACACTTACAATTGATGTGCATATCCGCAGTGTATGTGTGCATTTTGTTTTAGACTTCCATGGAAACTATCGCATACACAATCAAGAGTATTCTTTAATACAGATAAATTTCATCTTTTTAGAACGTCTTCGATCAATCAATATCATGTTCTTTATGTTTTCATTAAACTTCTAAGATAAGACGGAAAGCAAATCCTGATACAACAATCATAGTAATAATTATTCTTTTTTTGTGTCATTTTGTCTTTTTTCAATTTCTTTTTAGAAAACATCTCTGGGACAACATAAGTCAAAACCATGTCCAGCTACAGATTTGACGAAATTATGGATACAAAATGAAGTTCAATAAAAACAAGACAATTCTTTTCATTTGTTTTTTTTTTGTGATCATATTTGTAAATTTTTTTTAATCATCTTTATTTGTTAATTGTTTTTGTTGATCGTAAAATTGATTATAAAATAAATTTAACGATCGTTTCGATCGTTAGTATACAAAAAATAGACTCAATTTATATAAAAGAAAGTACAACGAAAAAAACTAAAATGCAATAAGATTAAATTAAAGAATTCGTTCTATGAAGCTGTCATTTTGTATTGTATTACACTGTCAAAAATGCCATGCGTCTACAAGACGGTGCATTCGTCTATTAAGACGGTTCGTCCGTTTTATTTCCGTCTAACGCTTAAATCGGTTATCCGTTGACGCTTGGCACGTCTAACTGAGACACATCATACGTCTAAAAAAAGACGCATCACGTGTCTTACCTAGACGTGCCAAGCGTCAACGGATAACCGATTTAAGCGTTAGACGGAAATAAGACGGATATAGGACGGACGAACCATCTTAATAGACGAATGCACCGTCTTGTAAGACGCATGTCATTTTTTAGAGTGTACCATTCCATGCTGAAGCCATTAAAGACTATCTTTTTTTCGATTGGTCAAATTATATCGATTATTTCTCTGGGACAATCACTTTTTTAGAAAAAACTAAAAGCACAGCTCGATAGAGAATGTTTTCTTCTATCTTCTAGTATTAACAAAAACCTCGGCCCATTTAATTTTCTAAGAGGTCGCCACACGTAGTGCATTTGATATTGATTCGCTTAAAACGCTATGCTTTTTTCGCTCTGCTGGCATACTAGATAATCATAATGAATGAATGAATAGTCGACTGAAAAAGACTAACATCGATTGAATATTCGTAAACACCATTAACATTTCTGTTTTTTCTATTAATAGATGGTGCTAGATTATATCTTTATAAAATAAGACTATAAATTGAAAACCTTATCATCAACCAAAATTCTTATAACTAAAATAGTCTTTGCTACACGTTCAATAGGGATATGTTTCGATCTTGTAAACACTTAAAGTAAATCTAAAGACATTATTTTGCGCTGGTGTGGGCGGGTGTGAAAGTGGGTGTAGGTCATAGTACTTCATTTATTGACATCCTCCCATCTAGAGACACGCTCTCTGCCATAGTCACCATCATGACTTGGTTTAATATTTTATTTCTTACATTTGTGTCTCATTTTTTTGTCTTATTATTGTATATTATTAATAAGAAAAGTATTTGATGAAAAATAAAATAATGACGTATGATGTCTTTATTTATTTAATGGAAACGAAAATTTTTTTCTTTCTATTGTGTAACGTTTGTTATTATGACACATGTTTTTGCTGCAGTCACATGTCAAATCAAATTTTGTATTGATTTCTTTTTTTTCTGTAGTGAAAATTCTATTCAGATTGGCGTACTTGTTCAGAAGTAAATAATAATGAACACTTTTGTACATATTTGGCCAAAATCTGTAATGATTCTCATAGTTATGATGTATTTATTCTCTACTCAATGGTGTTGATGAAAGTCGACAAACAAATGCATAAAGAGATTAATAATAATGATAATATTACAAGTAAAAAAACAAAAATATTTCCTCTTTGCTTATTTTGCTTTTTTTAATCATAACTTATCATATTATTCCAAAATTAATTCTTTAACGAATGAAAAATTCTAATAAAGAATCTATTGACATATCGGAATATTTAATTGAAAGTATATCGACAGTGCCATAAATTAAATTCATCGAATATGATCTCAAATGACTTATATGATATTAAATGTTGCTGTTATTCAGTCATTTCTTAATTAGATTTCCTCGTTCATCTCTACATCATAATAATATATTTAGAAAAATTTAAGTAGGAAAAAACGCAATCCAATTCTTCAATCTGTATTGAATCGATTTGAAAAAGATTTGATGTGGAAATCAACTAAAAACTCATTGTAATTTCATGCTTTCAAACATATAAAACTAATATATATATATACTTGTCTTTAATTGTTCTAGAATTGATTTATACCTGTGTACTTTGGGTGTGGATTTGCCTATGGCTGTGGTTTCTTCTTCTTCAATCAACCACACTCCATCTTATGAGATTTTTTTATTTGAACTATCGAATATCTAATGAAGTTCATGATTATTTTACTCATGAGGAAAGTTCTAATAACAAAAAAATTGATTTTTGAATTTTGACTTGACGTCTTGCCGTAGAGACAGATTTTAGCAAGAGTCATTTATCATCAAAATTCCAAGAACGAACATCAGATCTCTCAATTTGTACGAATGATGTAAAAGCCAAACTATTACTATATCTACATCTTTTAAGAGAAAACTAGCAACAAATTTTGAAACATTAGAAAAAAACCTATTTTCGAAAACGAAACTCACAGGATGCACATTACATAATGCTATTAGTCATGAATGAAAATCGATTCATCAGTTCGAAGATTTCAAAAATATCTAAAGCACAGAAATTTTATCTTGAGGTACATTTCATGGCCATTATATGATTTATGGATCAAATTAATAAGACAATAAAGAAACTTTTTTTGGGAATGGTACAAAAGTCGAAGTCAATATTTTGTTTATTAAATACATGGAAGAAATATTAACTTACTTCTAATAGAATATTATAAATCAATGAATATAAATTAATCGTTGATTTGTCTTTTTTTTATCGATAATCTGTACATTAAGAGAAAAAAAAAGAAATGTAAAAATGACCATATATTTCATTTAAAGTGTTGTATGTCAAATT